TAAATGGGCGCGGCACGGGCTAGAGAAGAGATGGAGTGACGTGGTACAGGAGGACGTGGAGCTGAGTGGACTTGCCGATGACCGGTACCAGCGGTGTCAAGATCGGCCTCTGTGGAAGAGGCTCATGAAGGATGCTACTGGGCAGTTTGAGGCAGTCGCCCTCCAACAACAACGGAGGGCGGAGAAGCGACGCTCACAACAACGAGCGGAGCACCGGGTGGCTAAAGCACAGCAGGTTGGCACAATAGGGGGCACAGGTGGTGCACCAGCCAGTCATCTGAGTCAGTCGACCCGTGGCACCTGGGTCTGCCCCGTGACCTCCTGCCAGCGGGCGTTCGACACTTCACGTGGCCTCAAGGTGCACATGGCCTGGCACAAGCGTCGTGGTGACGTCACCGCCACTTAGTGGCGAATGGCGGTTGTTGTTGAGTGAGTGAGAGTGTGTGAGTGGGGAGCGATAGCGTAGCGGTTAGCGCGCTGCGCTATGAACCTGGCGACCCGGGTTCGATTCCCGCTCACGGCCAACACCAGTGACGATTATCTGAACCGGTCCCGGTCCTCCCCGTAGTCGACTCAGCCTCAAATGAGTACCTGGTGCAGTTTGTAAACATCGCCACTAGTGAGACAAAGGCGGTCGGGCGTGGTGCTGGCCACCCACCCCCTCGTGTACCGTTCCGGCCTTCATAGGTGCTCGCTAACGGCACTTGCCCCTACAGTCTGTTAAGGCTATATGGGGGATCTTTGTCTTTGTGAGTGTGTGAGTGTGAGTAAGTGAGTTTGAGTGAGTTTGAGTGAGTGTGATTGAGCGAGTGTGATTGAGCGAGTGTGTGTGAGTGTGATTGAGCGAGTGTGTGTGAGTGATTGAGTGAGCGATTGAGTGAGCGATTGAGTGATCGAGTGTGTGAGTGATCGAGTGTGTGAGTGAGTGTGTGAGTGAGTGAGTGCGTGAGTATGAGTGAGTGAGTGTGTGGTAGTGAGTATGTTAGTGAGTGTGCGACTGAGTGTGAGAGTGTGTGAGTGTGTGTGAGTGAGAGTGTGTGAATGAGTGTTTAAGTGCGTAAGTGAGTGAGTGTGTGAGTGTGTTAGTGAGTGTGTGAGTGTGTTAGTGAGTGTGTGAGCGTGTTAGTGAGTGTGTGAGCGTGTTAGTGAGTGTGTGAGCGTGTTAGTGAGTGTGTGAGCGTGTTAGTGAGTGAGTGAGCGTGTTAGTGAGTGAGTGTGTTAGTGAGTGTGTGTGTGAGTGAATCTGTGTGTGAGTGAATCTGTGTGTGAGTGAGTGTGAGTGTGTTAGTGAGTGTGTTAGTGAGTGTGTTAGTGAGTGTGAGTGTGTTAGTGAGTGTATGAGGAGCGGTAGTGTAGCGGTTAGCACGCTGCGCTATGAACCTGGCGACCCGGGTTCGATTCCCGCTCACGGCCAACACCAGTGACGATTATCTGAACCGGTCCCGGGCCTCCCCTAGGTCGACTCAGCCTCAAATGAGTACCTGGTACGGTGTGTAAACATCGCCATTGGGGAGACAAAGGCGGTCGGGCGTGGTGCTGGCCACCCACCCCCTCGTGTACCGTTCCGGCCTTCATAGGTGCTCGCTAACGGCACTTGCCCCTACAGTCTGTTAAGGCTATATGGGGGATCTTTGTCTTTGTTAGTGAGTGTGTGAGTGTGTTAGTAATTGAGTGTGTGAGTGTGTGTGAGTGTGTGTGAGTGTGTGTGAGTGTGTGTGAGTGTGTGTGAGTGTGTGTGAGTGTGTGTGAGTGTGTGTGAGTGTGTGTGAGTGTGTGTGAGTGTGTGTGAGTGTGTTAGTGAGTTAGTTAGTAAGTGTGTGAGTGTGTTAGTGAGTGCGTGAGTGAGTGTGTGTGTGAGTGTGTGTGTGAGTCTGTTAGTGAGTGAGTGTGTAAGTGAGTGTGTAAGTGAGTGTGTAAGTGTGATGAGGATGCGGGTCCGGTTTATAAATTGTTCGGCGCCCCGACCACAGCCCGCCGTTGATTTTTTGGCTTCCTCAATTCCACCCCCCGCCTCGCTCCGCTTCGTTAGGCCGGAGAATTTACACTTCCCCACAAATTATAGTGTAGTGTATAGTGTAGTGTATAGTTGTGTAGTGTGTAGTATATAGTGTAGTGTACAGTGTAGTGTATAGTGTAGTGTTTAGGGTAGTGTATAGTGTAGTGTTTAGGGTGGTGTATAGTGTAGTGTATAGTGTAGTGTTTAGGGTAGTGTATAGTAGTGTATAGTGTAGTGTATAGTGTAATGTTTAGGGTAGTGTATAGTGTAGTGTTTAGGGTGGTGTATAGTGTAGTGTTTAGGGTAGTGTATAGTAGTGTATAGTATAGTGTAGTGTGTAGTGTATTGTATAGTATAGTGTAGTGTATAGTGTAGTGTATAGTAGTGTATAGTGTAGTGTATAGTAGTGTAGTGTAGTGGGGAATGTATAGTGTAGTGTATAATAGTGTAGTGTATAATAGCGTAGTGTATAGTGGTGGCGAATGTATATTAGTGTATAGTGTAGTGTATAGTGTAGTGTAAAGTACTGTAGTGTACAGGAATTCGGGGTCAAACCGTATGGGTTCACAGGTAGGTATAGTAGTGCAGTGTATAGTGTAGTGTATAGTAGTGTGTAGTGTATAGTAGTCCAGTGTATAGTGTAGTTTATAGTAGTGTGTAGTGTACAGTGTAGTGTATAGTGTAGTGTATAGTAGTGTGTAGTGTACAGTGTAGTGTGTAGTGTAGTGTATAGTAGTGCAGCATATAGTGTAAGTGTACAAGAATCCTGGGTCAAACCGTTGTGTGTTCACACACTCATAGGGCTCTTCCTTCCGATGTCATTGGGACGCTGCTGGTAGCCGCGATTCCCTTTTATCTTTTTAATAATCCGGATCTGGGGGGGGGGGGGATGTGGGGTCTGCGAGCAGAGTAACTTGAACGTATTGTGTGTCCGTCACTGAGCGTGCCAATACTCCACTGGGGTGTAGGGAGAGAGGGGAGGACAGGGGAAAGTCGCCAGCCACCTACTGAAACCCAGGACAATTGCTATTGTGTTCAGATATTCACACGGAACGGTAAAACGAATGGCGTTGAATTTGTTTTTTTTTATAATGTAGGGCCTTCTTTTAACACCTTTTTAATATATCAGGGGACACACCAGGCCCGAACCCCCTTGGGAAGTTTCTAGATTCCGTCTCTGCAAACCACACATAGACTCACATAGAGACCCATAGACTCACATAGAGACCCATAGACTCACATAGAGACCCATAGACTCACTTAGAGACCCATAGACTCACATAGAGACCCATAGACTCACATTGAGACCCATAGACTCACATAGAGACCCACAGACTCACATAGAGCCCCATAGACTCACATAGAGCCCCATAGACTCACATAGAGACCCATAGACTCACATACTGACCCATAGACTCACATTGAGACCCACAGACTCACATTAAGACCCACAGACTCGCATAGAGACCCACGGACTCGCATAGAGACCCACAGATCGCGTAAATATAAATGTGTGTCGTGTGATTTGAGAAACGTGCATTGTGATTACTTTCACGAGTGCTTTGCCGCTGTTCACCGTCCACATGATGCTACGCCACCTTTTGTTGAGCTGATCATTTGTAGATGGGTGGTAAGGGACTTCACCTAGGGAGGGGGGTGGGGGGTCAGACATTTGTGACGATGTGTGACGAGGGGGGGGTGGGTGAGCAATGTGACGTCACATCAAAATGCGCAACTTTAAATATAGACAACACGTTCTACTTAATTAAATCGACTTTTTAATAATAATAATAAATGTTTTCTCCTACAACATCAGAGTAGCAGCGGCACGTTAAATACGCACTACAATGTGACAATAGTTTAAAGCGATTTGAAGCATGTTTTATTTTTTTTTGGGGGGGGGGGCAGAGCTTTGTGACGTCATATTTGAGGGGGGGGGGTCTGACTTTTTGTGACGTCGTGTGACGAAGGGAGGGGGGGTAAAAAATCGTCAAAAATCGCGTGACGTCATTTATGGACGGCCCTTAATAACTTCGGTGAGCCTTGCCTGATGAGATGAATAACCGATTTATTTTTTTTAATATTTTCAAGTGATTTGTTTTCCGTTCCTGTGCTTTGCTCTCCTATCGTAGTTTTTTTTTCTGTGTTGTTGTTGTTGTTGTATTGTTTGTCGCTGGAACGTTCTGAACACGCGCCCCTACTGGACATCTGTGACGATAAAAGCTTCATAGCCCATCGGATTCCTCCAGAATGAATGAATATTCCGATTCTGATCCACGCCGCAGCTTTAATTCTCTCTCCCGGCTCGCCAGGTGAACGCTGCTCCATCTGCGCGGGGGATCGAGCGTTGTCCCCCTCGCGCGCCCCATTGATTGTCTGGTAACACCTTGATATACAGAGGACCGCAGATCTTGGGGGAAGCGGAATTTGTCACCGGCTCCTCATCACCGCGTGGCTGCTGCTGCTGCTGCTGCTGCTCGTCGTCCGTGGTTCCTCCTGGCGCCCCTCAAGTCGACGCTGTTTGCTACGTTGTTTATTAGCAGCAGTAGAATTATTACGGAGTGATTTGCGATCGCAAACTGAATTGTCTGCGTGTGTGTGCGTGTGTGTGTATGTGTGTGTGTGTGCGTGTGTGTGCGTGTGCGTGCGTGTGCGTGTGTGTGTATGTGTGCGTGTGTGTGCGTGTGTGTGTGTGCGTGTGTGTGTGCGTGTGTGTGTGTGCGTGTGTGTGCGTGTGTGTGTGTGCGTGTGTGTGTGCGTGTGTGTGTGCGTGTGTGTGTGTGCGTGTGTGTGTGCGTGTGTGTGTGCGTGCGTGTGTGTGTGTGTGTGTGCGTGCGTGTGTGTGCGTGCGTGTGTGTGTGCGCGTGTGTGCGTGTGTGTGTGTGCGTGTGTGTGTGTGCGTGTGTGTGTGCGTGTGTGTGTGCGTGTGTGTGTGTGCGTGTGTGTGTGTGCGTGTGTGTGTGTGCGTGTGTGTGTGTGTGCGTGTGTGTGTGTGTGTGTGCAGGGGGTTTGGAAAACAAGGCTTCCAGTGTCAAGGTAAGCGACCGGCACCTTCCGATGCGCACGCTTGGCTACGTACGCTGCGAAAGAAGTCACGCTCGCTCGCACGCACACACACACATACACACGTACACACACGTACACACACGCACGCACACGTACACACACGCACACACACGTACACACACACACACACACGTACACACACACACACACGCACACACACGTACACACACACACACACGCACACACACGTACACACACACACACACGCACGCACATCCTCGCACGACGTGGAGACGCGAAGCCCCTCGGCCCGCCCACGCTGAGCGCTGCTCGCGGGAACGCGACGTTGTGCCGCGACGTTGTGCCGCGACGTTGTGCCGCGGTGTTGTGCCGCGACGTTGTGCCGCGGTGTTGTGCCGCGACGTTGTGCCGCGGTGTTGTGCCGCGACGTTGTGCCGCGCGGTGGGACGGCTGCCGCTGGGGGTGTGTGGGGGAGGGGGCCTCCCTTGGCGGTGCGTCGGTGATGCAGTGATGTGGTGATGCGGTGATGTGGTGATGCGGTGATGCGGTGATGATGCGGTGATGCGGTGATGATGCGGTGATGCGGTGATGTGGTGATGATGCGGTGATGATGCGGTGCCACCACAGGGCCAGCCCAGCGCTCCTTTTGCCGCGGGCGTGTGCAATCGGTCGCTCATCGTCGGCGATTGTGACCGTGATGGTTCATTGTGACAGTGATGGTTCATTGTGACCGTGATGGTTCATTGTGACAGTGATGGTTCATTGTGACCGTGATGGTTCATTGTGGCCGTGATGGTTCATTGTGACCGTGATGGTTCATTGTGACAGTGATGGTTCATTGTGGCCGTGATGGTTCATTGTGGCCGTGATGGTTCATTGTGACCGTGATGGTTCATTGTGACCGTGATGGTTCATTGTGACAGTGATGGTTCATTGTGACAGTGATGGTTCATTGTGGCCGTGATGGTTCATTGTGACCGTGATGGTTCATTGTGACAGTGATGGTTCATTGTGACCGTGGTGGTTCATTGTGACCGTGATGGTTCATTGTGATCGTGATGGTTCATTGTGTCCGTGATGGTTCATTGTGACCGTGATGGTTCATTGTGGCCGTGATGGTTCATTGTGGCCGTGATGGTTCATTGTGGCCGTGATGGTTCATTGTGGCCGTGATGGTTCATTGTGACAGTGATGGTTCATTGTGGCCGTGATGGTTCATTGTGGCCGTGATGGTTCATTGTGACAGTGATGGTTCATTGTGGCCGTGATGGTTCATTGTGGCCGTGATGGTTCATTGTGACAGTGATGGTTCATTGTGGCCGTGATGGTTCATTGTGACCGTGATGGTTCATTGTGACAGTGATGGTTCATTGTGGCCGTGATGGTTCATTGTGACCGTGATGGTTCATTGTGACCGTGATGGTTCATTGTGACAGTGATGGTTCATTGTGACAGTGATGGTTCATTGTGACCGTGATGGTTCATTGTGGCCGTGATGGTTCATTGTGACAGTGATGGTTCATTGTGACCGTGATGGTTCATTGTGACAGTGATGGTTCATTGTCACCGTGATGGTTCATTGTGACCGTGATGGTTCATTGTGACTGTGATGGTTCATTGTGGCCGTGATGGTTCATTGTGGCCGTGATGGTTCATTGTGACCGTGATGGTTCATTGTGACTGTGATGGTTCATTGTGACCGTGATGGTTCATTGTGGCCGTGATGGTTCATTGTCACCGTGATGGTTCATTGTGACCGTGATGGTTCATTGTGGCCGTGATGGTTCATTGTGACCGTGATGGTTCATTGTGGCCGTGATGGTTCATTGTGACCGTGATGGTTCATTGTGACAGTGATGGTTCATTGTGACTGTGATGGTTCATTGTGACCGTGATGGTTCATTGTGACTGTGATGGTTCATTGTGACCGTGATGGTTCATTGTGACCGTGATGGTTCATTGTGACCGTGATGGTTCATTGTGACCGTGATGGTTCATTGTGACCGTGATGGTTCATTGTGACCGTGATGGTTCATTGTGACAGTGATGGTTCATTGTCACCGTGATGGTTCATTGTGACCGTGATGGTTCATTGTGACTGTGATGGTTCATTGTGACCGTGGTGGTTCATTGTGACCGTGATGGTTCATTGTCACCGTGATGGTTCATTGTGACTGTGATGGTTCATTGTGACCGTGATGGTTCATTGTGACAGTGATGGTTCATTGTCACCGTGATGGTTCATTGTGGCCGTGATGGTTCATTGTCACCGTGATGGTTCATTGTGTCCGTGATGGTTCATTGTCACCGTGATGGTTCATTGTGACCGTGATGGTTCATTGTGACCGTGATGGTTCATTGTGACCGTGATGGTTCATTGTGACCGTGATGGTTCATTGTGACCGTGATGGTTCATTGTGACCGTGATGGTTCATTGTGACCGTGATGGTTCATTGTGACCGTGATGGTTCATTGTGACAGTGATGGTTCATTGTGACAGTGATGGTTCATTGTGACCGTGATGGTTCATTGTGACTGTGATGGTTCATTGTGACCGTGATGGTTCATTGTGACTGTGATGGTTCATTGTGGCCGTGATGGTTCATTGTGACCGTGATGGTTCATTGTGACCGTGATGGTTCATTGTGACCGTGATGGTTCATTTTGACCGTGATGGTTCATTGTGACTGTGATGGTTCATTGTGACCGTGATGGTTCATTGTGACCGTGATGGTTCATTGTGACTGTGATGGTTCATTGTGACCGTGATGGTTCATTGTGACCGTGATGGTTCATTGTGACCGTGATGGTTCATTGTGACCGTGATGGTTCATTGTGACCGTGATGGTTCATTGTGATCGTGATGGTTCATTGTGACTGTGATGGTTCATTGTGGCCGTGATGGTTCATTGTGACAGTGATGGTTCATTGTGGCCGTGATGGTTCATTGTGACTGTGATGGTTCATTGTGACCGTGATGGTTCGTTGTGACAGTGATGGTTCATTGTGACTGTGATGGTTCATTGTGACAGTGATGGTTCATTGTGACCGTGATGGTTCATTGTGACCGTGATGGTTCATTGTGGCCGTGATGGTTCATTGTGACCGTGATGGTTCATTGTGACCGTGATGGTTCATTGTGACCGTGATGGTTCATTGTGACCGTGATGGTTCATTGTGACTGTGATGGTTCATTGTGACCGTGATGGTTCATTGTGACCGTGATGGTTCATTGTGACTGTGATGGTTCATTGTGACCGTGATGGTTCATTGTGACCGTGATGGTTCATTGTGACCGTGATGGTTCATTGTGACCGTGATGGTTCATTGTGACCGTGATGGTTCATTGTGATCGTGATGGTTCATTGTGACTGTGATGGTTCATTGTGGCCGTGATGGTTCATTGTGACAGTGATGGTTCATTGTGGCCGTGATGGTTCATTGTGACTGTGATGGTTCATTGTGACCGTGATGGTTCATTGTGACAGTGATGGTTCATTGTGACCGTGGTGGTTCATTGTGGCCGTAATGGTTCATTGTGACTGTGATGGTTCATTGTGACCGTGATGGTTCATTGTGACAGTGATGGTTCATTGTGACCGTGATGGTTCATTGTCACCGTGATGGTTCATTGTGATCGTGATGGTTCATTGTCACCGTGACGGTTCATTGTGGCCGTGATGGTTCATTGTGACAGTGATGGTTCATTGTGACCGTGATGGTTTCATTGTCGCCGTCATTACGATCGTTGCCGCCGCTGCTGTTGTTGTTGCCGTAGCGACGCGTACGCGGGCCGTCCGCGACGGGGTGCATTCTGGGACATCTCGAGGAGCCCGGTGGGACGGGCCCCGACGTGTCGTGAGGTTGGGGCTCGTCGGCCGAGACGGCGATTGCGTCGAGAGGACTTTGCTGGGACCTGGGGTGGGGGGGGGGACTGGGGGGGGTGGTGGGGAGGTTGAGTTGGGGTGGGGGGGAGCGGTGGTGCAGTGGTTAGCGCGCCGGAGCCACCGAAGCCGGCGGCGACCCGAGTTCGATTCACGCGCAGCGGCTGACGTCGGTGACGATTATCTGAACCCGTCCTGGGGCTCCTCTAGGTCGACTCGGTCTCAAATTAGCACCTGTGCAGATGATGTCGGGCAGAAATTAGGGGGTAAAGGACAATAGACCCGCATGCTGACTCACCCACCCACTCAGTCACCCAATCAATCACCTACCCGCTCACTCACCAACCTACTCACTCACTCACCCACTCACTCACCCACCCACTCACACACTCACTCACCCACCCACCCACTGATTCACTCACTCACCCACTCACTCACCCACCCATTCACTCTCTCACCAACCGACTCACTCGCACATTCACTCACTCAACCACTCAACCACCCAATCACTCTCACCCACTCACTCGCTCACCCACTCATTCACCTACTCGCCCACCGGCTCACCCACTCGCCCACTCACCCACTGACTCACCCACTCATTCACCTACTCACCCACCGGCTCACCCACTCACCCACTGACTCACCCACTCACTCACCTACTCATCCGCCCAGAACCTGTCGTGTAAACGAACATAACTAGCGAGGGATCGCTGCTGCACCTTACTGGTGCTGCGTGGCTCCGTTGCGTGCGCGTCTTTGTGATTGCCAGTCCGACTAAGCGCTGCAAACCCCTTAGGCCACCAACTCCGCCGACGATTCTCTGAACCGGTCCTGCCCTCGCTTAGGTCGGCTCGGCCTCAAATGAGAACCCGGTGCGGTGCGTAAAGTACCCGGCGGTGGCCACCAACACCCTCGCCTGCCACGGTGCCGGCCCTCCATCGGTGCTGCCCGCTAACAGCACAGCCTGTCAAGACTGCCATGGGACTCGGCCTAGCGCCTCCAGAAAGGCCTCTTTGGGGTTTTGGGCGATGTCGAACTTTGTGACACCGCAGCCACGCAGCCTTCGCTCGCCGCTCGCGTAGAGAGAGAGAGTGGACGACTCAGAGAGAGAGGGAGAGAGGACGA